ATAAGATTTTTTTTTTTTTTTAAAGAAAAAGCAGCAAATTGGACTTTTTTGGTAGTTAAAGGAGGATGTGGGTGAGGGGAGAGGCACTTCTCTGCCATAGAAAAGATACCATTCCATAAAACATGTGATCACATCTCAAATATATTGTGTAATCCGCTATTATTAGGGTATTTAAGATAAAAATGAGACCGGAGCACTTAAGTGAAACTCATCTCTCTATTAGGTTCCTTGATTTATATTTTACTAAGTACAAATGCAGGAGGAGATTTTCCTTTTTTTCTTTTTATTTCTTTTTTTTTCCTTTTTCTTTTTATTTCTTTTTTCCTTTTCTCTTTTTTCCTTTTTTTCTTGGTTTCTAATTTTTTTCCTTTTTTCTTTTTTCCTTTTTTTTTTTTTTTTTAATTTCTTTTCCTTTTTTCTTTTTTCCTTTTTTTTCTTGTTTTTTTTAATTTTTTTCCCCCCCCTTTTTTTTTTCCTCCATGAGGTGAGATTGTCAGGAGCTTTTTCCTTGTGTTCTTCATTAGTGGAAATGGCTTTAACCCCTCACCTGCAAGGATCGAAGAGTCAAGAGTGGAGGAATAAAGTCCAGAAGCATTAGCGTGTGCAGCGAAAGGGAGAACAGCTGGGGCCGGGAGAGAGGGAGGCACACAGCCACTTGGAGAGAAAAAAAAAGACTTTTCTTTTTACTTTTCTTTTCTTTTTTTGTCTCCCCTGTGAAGAATTATGTCATTTTTGTTAATTTTTGATCTCTTGGAACCATTTGGTTCTGGTTAAGCAAGACCGAGGCAGGGTTGGGTGGAAGTTCTTCTCAATATGGCATCATTTACCGTTAATATCCAGCTAAAAATATCCTTGTGTGTGTTTTAATAGCTCTAATTCTGGAATGTGACGGTGTCATTTTTGTGAGGTTAGTGTAAAAAAATCTTTTTCTTTTTTTTTTAACATTTTTTTCATCCCTTCCCAACCTCTTTCTACCCTCCAAAGGGAAGAGGGAAGATACAGACTCTCTTTATACGTCCCTTTCCTTGCAAAATTCTTGGTTTAATATCATTTTTAGGGTGGCTTTTCATTCATTGTTGGTTAAAACCTTGTGCAAAGCTTTGATCCCATCCAGGTGGAAAATCCCTCAGCTATTTTTGGGTAGCAGTTCCCATCGTGGGCTGGGTGAACCCTTATCCCCCCGGCAGCCAACACGCTGCTTTTGGCTCTGGCAGCTGGAGCATCCGGGCATCACTGAGTGTAATTAAAAAATACACCCTCATAAAATGAAATACCGAGTAGAATCAGGTAGTTTAAAAATACCCTGGGCTGGATTTTCCGTTGTGCTGTTTGTTTTTTTGGGGGGAAGCCAGGGTTTGTTGTGCTTTTATGGATGGATGTCTCCATCCTCACCAAACTTTTTTGAACCTCTTGACCTATTTCTTCTGAATTGAACCAGGTGATGGGAGGCCTCAGAGTGGCTCAGCTCAGGCAGGTTTTGAGGAGAAAAAGGCAGTGATGAGGGATTAATGTAGGGGCTGAAGTGTGAGTCAGGCATCCTAAATGGGATGGGTCCCACCATCTCCTCTCCCCAGGCTTGTCCATCGCTGGGCACAGGTGGAACCTGGTGTTCCCTATGGGACAATGTGAGTTTTGTGGTGTTTACCATGGGGAAGGCAGCCAAAACCTGACCCTCCCGCTGTCCTGGGACACCTCTATCACGTACAGGGTGGAGATGTGGAGTCCCACCAGCCAGAGCATGAGCCTTTGGGGGATGAATTAACAATAATCCCCAGGTACGTTGGGATAACGAGCTGCTTCCCCGCTGGAGGATGAGCTGCTTTGCCTGAAGTCGAGGGTAAGGATCCAGCCTCAGTTTACCCAGTGAACAGAAGGGATTTGATGTCTCTGGGTCATCAAATCCCACATGTCCCCATGGGCTGGGTACCCTGAGAACCCCCTTCCATGGCAGAGAAACTTCTGCTGCTGCGGGAGCAGCTCAGAGCTGGTCCTGGCAGTGTGTGTGCGGTCTGGACGGAGCCTTTGCCCCTCCTGGGATTAATCCCAAGGTTGGTTTATTTATTGACCCCCTCCCCATCCCAGCACACTCCTTCCAGCATCTCTTAGTGCTCGACCTTCTGCAGCATCGCTGCAAAAAAACCTCGAGCACTCAGATGAGGTGACGACTGGGTTGAGGTGCTGAGCCTGGGAGAAGTTTTTCCTCCAACGCGCTAAGAACTTCTCTGAGTACTTCTCAGTTTTTTAATTACCCTTAAAAATACTTGTTTAGAAACCAGGATGGCTGCAGACTACCTTTTATTTCTACCATGAACCCTACACCAAATTGCAGTGCTGCCTAGTTGGAGAAATAGTACAAAAAGCCCCAAGAAACTGGTGAAACCTTGGCCAAGATTTTGCAGTTTAATTTTTTTTTTTTTAAAAAAAAAGAAGCTAAAATAATTAAATGAGCAAAATCCCACCAGGTTAAAAGGTTTCTTACCCCAGGCATGGCTCGAGCAAGGTGGAAAGCTTTGGTATTGCTTTGAACTAATGTTTTCTATGTCCCCATGTAGCCTGGGGTAGTTGTGGGTCACCCCCAGCAAAGTCTGGGTCACCATCTTCTTCCTCAGCCCTGAAACGTGTTGTTGCTGCTGCTGCTCTTGGGGAGGGCAAAGCCAAACAGCATCAGCTCTTGACGTAAGTGTCTGAGACATTACAAACTTTTTTTTTTATGGGATAATTTGCTGATCAAAGGGAACCATCCAGGAACATGATGAATTTGACACAACCCATTCGTTCCTAATTACGAGTAACGTGCTAATGACTCTTGAATAACACTATGCAGCAGGATACAATTTTTTTTTTAAAAATCATTTTTTCTCCGGTTCAGAGAGCCAGGAGGTGAAAGCCCAGCCACTCCTACACAGGAGACTTTCTTCTTTCTCCTTTCACATCTTCTCAGCCCTAAGGAGAGGTTGTGGGCATCATCCTCCTTGCTTATCCCTACGGAAAAGCTTTATCCCCCATCGCCTGGGCTGCTCCTCCTGCTCTTTGGGGTAACAAATCCAGATAACGTGGGGCTCTGCAGCCCAAAATTCAATTTTTGGGGCTCCAACTGCTTTGTGCAGCCGTGCAACAGGTTTGCTGCCATCCTTCATTTGCAGGCTGAGCTGAACTTTGCAGGCTGAAGTGGAAATTGGTGGTGGGGAGGGAAGGAGGGAGCAGCTCCAGGGCACTGGTGGGGAGGCCCCTGTGAGCAATTGTAAGGCAATGTCTTTTTTTTTTTCTTTTTTTTCCTGTAAATCTTGTAATTTCGTGCTTCAGAGCACAACAAAGTGAGAGAGCCAGCGGGGAGTGAATTAAATTCCCCCCTGAGAAGCGGCACAGGGTGGGCAGCCAGCGGTAGGGACTTGGTGACACCCGTGGGCCAGCCGGTATTTGGGTTTAGAAAGAGAGATTCTGGGAGAAATCCTGCCTGGTGCTTTGCTGGGTGCTGGTATTGTCTCTCTTGTGTTTTTCCCTTCTTTGCTGAATTTTCCCTGCCTTTGGCACTGATTTTTGTTGGGACTGGAGCAGGGACCTGCCTCACCACGTCACCTCAGGGAGACGGTCCTTGCAAACACCAGAGGAATTCCATGTGGTGCAGGTGGAGAAACCAAATCCATGCAAACTTCTGTCAAATGGACACTTGGAAAAATAGTTGAAGCTCAGGCAGCTGATGGTCCAGCACCCAACCTCGGGTGGGTGCCTGGGACCTGCCAGCTCTGCTGCACGCTGGTGCTGAGCAGCCGTCGATTAACTTCTTCCATCTTTGGCTTTTAATGGGAATTACTGTTTTCATTTCAAAAAAAGTAATTAAAATATCAGACCTTGAGCTGTCATAACTGTCACATGGTTTTTGTGTTCACATTACCGATGCACATCTATTACTGTTAATAACAGGGAATAAACATGCCTGCAGAGAAGCGTTGCCTTGCCATGGGGCTGCGGCAGCTCTTGGACTCAGACCATCGGTGATTCCCAGCAGCAAATGGCCACGTTTGTCCTCAAGGATTTTATATTTTTAATTATTTGGATTAAGCGAGGTTGTAAGTTAGTGGTTGTGTGGTTTTTGAGCATCCCCAGCAGCTGACCAGGGATGCCCAAGAAGAGGTGATGGGCATTGGGGCAGCTTTGGGTGCATCCACACCGTGCTCTGTCCGTTCCTGGGTGCACCCTGGAGTGTAGCCCTGGTGATTTGTCATAGAAGAACATTAGGATCCCATTTGCTTTTGAAACTCCTGGGCTTTTGACTTTTTCGGGGTACATGCATGGTGACAGGCACAGCCAGGCAGGGCAGAGGGTGTTGTGTGCTGTGTTGGGGGCACAGCTGTTGGGTTTGGGTCCCTTGCTAGGAAATTATGTTTTTTAAAATAAAATAGGTGAGGCTGTGTCTGTGAAACTCTCCACACACAGCCTCTGGCTTCAGCAGTAACTTTAAAACGACCTCTCATTTTGCAGATGGACTTCTAACGCCTGTCCATGTGCAAGGAGGGGGTCAGAAGACTTTTATTCCCTAGAAAAAACAGGGATGGCACAGCTTGGGCATCCTTTGCTCTAAATCATCCAGGTTGGATGAGGCTTTGAGCAACCTGGTCTAGTGGAAGGTGTCCCTGCTGATGGCAGGGGGGTTGGAACTGGATGAGCTTTAAGGTCCCTTCCAACCCCAACCAGTCTGGGGTTCTATGAAATCTGTCTCGTACACTCTTCCCAAGCATCCCTTGAGGAAAGGAGCATGGAATAGGACCTTTTAATTAAAATGCAGATAATGAGTCTTCATGGGTGCTCTGATGAGCAACTGTTGAAGGTGCTGCAGGTGCTCCTTGCTTCGCAGAGGTTCAATAAATAGCGAGTGGACCGGAGTGGTGTATTGAGGTGCGTCCACACTGTGGGCGATGCGGCTCCGGTTTGCAAGCGGATTTGGCAGGGAGGGATGGAGAAGGCGGCACGTGGGCTGGGGGCTTTCTTCTTTATAGCTGGAAATGTGGAGAATTAACAAGCAGCCCTTTCTCGGGGCGCACAGCCGCCTCCTGGAAGCCGGGACGGTGATTTACGAGCGGGGTGATGACAACCAGGGGAACCCACGTGCTGCTGGCGGCACCGCCAAGCTGGGCTTTGACCCTGCACCGAGCCCTAATGCAAACCTGTCCTGCGGGCAGGGCTACAATGACTTGGTTGTTCAGAAATGTACCCAAAAAAAAAGGAGAAAGGAAAAAAAAAAGGGGAAAAAAAATCCCTTAAAAGCAAAACTAAGGAGCGTACGAGGAAGCGGGCGTGGGAGCAGCAGCTGGGTACCGCAGGGTTGTTTTTGTTAGAGCTTTATTCCCTCTCCCAGCTCGCAGCTCCTGAATGAAGCTCCTTTTCTGAGCTCACACGCTCTCCGGTGCTCGCCCGCGGCCGCGCTCGCCTGTGGCCGGTCGGCTCTTCTGCCGCCTCGCTCTGGCTCCTCTCTCCTCCCTCTTTCTTTACAGGATTTTCCTTAATTTCACCTACTTTCCTCAGCTGCTGACACTGCTGTGCACAGCTCTGTCGTGGTTGCTTGTGCCTACACGTGTGTCCACAAGTGGTTTTTATCGATTTTATGTTGGTTTCTTCCTCTTTTGCTTGTTGTGTCACTTCCCAGCGAGACACCTTCATCCCTGCAAATAAGTTAAGGAAACTCATAACTCTTTTTTAGGCAAACGTATAAAAATAAGCAGGTTTCATCTTGATCACTTGTGCAACTCGCTAAACTCCTCCTGCACCACCATAAACTCCCTATGGACGTGTTCGTGGATTATTAATTAAGGGTGTAATCCTGCTCTTGACCTGACCCAAATCTGGGTGGTAACTGGGACTTTTTGGTGCTCCAGCGTGACAGTCGGATGTAAAATTAAATATACACGGTAGCTTTAGGCACAAGGGATGTCCATGGCAGCAGAAACCTAGTGATTGTTCTGTGTGAGGGTGGAATTAATCAACCAGGAGCCAGCCCCTCCGCCAGACCTTCGGTCTGGGGACACATGTGCCGGGGCTGACCTGTGTGGAAATCTGCCAGAGGCAGGAAGATGTTGGACCTGGTGACTTGCTGAAGATGTGATGGAGGTTTTTGGAAGAGGGCAGCATTGTCCTCATGGCCCAGGCCAGGGGTATAGCTCTGGGGAGCAGGGATGGCCTGTAATGGGATGTACTGGTCATACTGTCATACTGGTCATACTGTTATGTCAGGAGAGAGCGTATGGGGAGCATTGGAAGTGCTCCCCTTCTTGTGTGTTGCTTGCACCCCATAAATCAAACTAGTGGAGATCCAGCCTGATGGCCCCATGTCCAGGCACTGCTCTGGGAAGCTGGAGAGGGAATTGTCCTGCTCCGGGAAGATTGCCCCCTCCCTGGAAGTGTTGAAGGCCAGGCTGGATGAAGCTTTGAGCAACCTGGTCTAGTGAAAGGTGTCCCTGTTGATGGCAGGGGGGTTGGAACTGGATGAGCTTTAAGGTCCCTTCCAACCCAAACCATTCTGTGATGCTGTGAACATGCTCAGAGCAGGGAGGAGGAAGAGGGCAGCCTTCCTCCTACCCACCTTGCTGTGTTTCTTTTGCAGGCTCTCCAGGTGGCACGCCAGTTCCTGCTGCAGCAAGCCACGGGGCTGAGCTCCCCCAGCAGCAATGAGGGCAAGCAGCCAGCGGTGCAGGTGAGCCCTGAGGACGTGGATCTGTCCCCCATCACCCCCTTTTTGGGAAGAGTTTGGCTGCAAACGGGTGCTGTGGGAGGGTGCACGTGCAAACACATCACCTCTGTCTTCAGGGTGACTGAGGCAAACCAGGAGCCCACAAAGAGTTAAATTCCCTGTAAACGTCCAGAAATTTCCTGGGGTTTTTTTTGGTGGGGGAGTTTGTGGGCTGATGTGGTGGGAAAAGGGTGATGTGAGGGAAGGGCTGGCTCCAGGCGGGGTAAGGACCAGGTGGAGAAGGTCACTGTGTGCCACTATACCTTGGGACAGCATTTTGGATAGGGAGGTGCAGAGCTTCCCAGGCTCAGGGCACCCCAGGATTGGTGCTGTGAGAGGGGCATGGGGATGGATAAGGGGCAGTCCTTTGGGGCTGGATAAAGGACGGTTCCTCAGGGCTGGAGCCAGGACAGGTCCTCCAGTGTGGGACAGCATCTGGGACAGGACAAAGACCCATCAGGGATGGGGTTTTGTGGCACTGGCAGGAAAAAACTGGGCTTTGGGTGGATGCAGAATCCTTGGGTGGCTTCCTGCTCCCATAGGGGAGGGGAGGACCAAGGGAAAGGGACAGAAAAGGGGCAGAAAAGGGGTGTGAACCTGGAGAGGGGGAGGCAGAAAGAAGCAAAGCCCAAGCGATAGAAAGTGACAATTTAAATAGCTGTGCGGAGAGGCTCTCCCTTCAGGCTAATTAAATTTATCGGAGAACAGCAGGTTACCTTATTAGAGCCACGTGGGTTTAATTAACAAAGGAAAGTAATTAGCACAAGCGCTCTCAGAGCTGGAGGTCCTGCCTACACCAGGCTGAGCTGGTGCAGCGGAAAAAGCCAGGGCTGGAACAGGCAATTGCGAGCCACATGGCCAGGACGAGGCTGAACCTCAGTGCCATCCCAGTGCTCCCAGTATATCAGGGTGGGCTCACAGGGGCTGGGGGAAGCCTGGAGACCCTCTGGCTGCCCCAGCAGGTTGGGAAGCAGCAGCTGAGTAGGAGTAGTGGGAATTAGGGCTCCTGCAGCACAAAGAGGCGGCTTTTTCCAGTGTTGCTGGCAGGAAGGAAATGCAGTCACTGCATGGAAAATGTCTGCAAAGGACAAAGGCAGCGAGGGTGAAGTCAGATTCCGGTAACAGGCGCCTTGTTCCCCTCCATGGATGTGTTTCTCCTGCCCATCTCTTGCTGCTCCCTCCACTGCTTTCCCCAGCTGCGATGCACGCTGCTCGCTTGCCGCTCGCTTGCTGCTCGCTTCACATCCCATTCCCCCCCCTTTCTCTATTGCTTTTCCCTGCCCATCTGGCCAGTGGCTTTGCTGGGGTGAACTGGATCTGCTTTCCTCTCCCCTCCTCCCTTTTTGTGTTGCAAAAAGGACTTGTGAAAGTTGTAGACGTGAGTCAGAAATAGCTCATAACTCAGCAGCGACCGGCCTCTTCCTCCCCCCTCCTCCCCATCCCGCCAGCCCAGCCGGCAGCTGGAGCGGGATCTGACCGAGGGGAGATAGAGGATTAAGCAGACTCCTTTGAAAGGAAGTTTATCTAACGGCAGTGGTGTGGATGAGACTGGCCAGGACGGCTGGAGGAGGGAGGAGGAAGGCTGGATCTCAGTGCAGCAGCCCCTGGTTGGGGAGTGAAAGGGGAACACAGCAGAACTGGGGGTTCATCGCAGTGTTTAGGACCTGGGGTGCCCTCGGGGCTGGATTTCCACATCACTTGGGTATTTTGGGGAGCAGCTGTTATAGTGGCCTCCATTCAGCTCTCCACTGGCCACTTCCCTGCTCCCAGTCCCTGGAGAAGTGAGCAGGAGGGTCCCAGTGTCAGCAGAGAGAGGAGGAGCCCCCGCACCCAGCACCCAACACCCAGGAGTGCTGCAAGTTCCCAGTCCGTGCCGACACCAGGCACTTGCCTTTGCAGTGAGCAGCTCCCTGTCCCCTTGCTGGTGAGGATGGGACATTAATGGGGCACCAAGCCAGCGGGAATATTAATGACAGTCGGTGACAGCGTGCTCTTAAAAACAAACAAGGAGCTGCTGGGCTTGGTAGGATCCTGGGGGTTTTTTTTGGAGCATGAACCCTCTCTCCCCACAGATGCCTGGAGGTGTGTGTGGGGAGCCTCACAACTCACACCCCAATTACAGCTGCATCTAAAAAAAAAATGCCTAAAAACCCCACTCTGAAACATTTTTTAAGTGGTTTTACTTCTTTGCAACTTTAAAACTATTAGAAACTTGGTAGATGCCAACAAACTGTTGCATTTGAGGACTTCTGTTGCAGTGGATCTTCCCGGGATCCCACTGATAAGGGGAGATGGTGCTGGTGTCTGGTAAATCCCATGGCTGGAGGTGCTGGGGCAAGTTTGTAAAGATAGTGGGGGGTCCCACCGTGCCCCCTGTTTTCAGTGCTGGGTCATTTCTGGCTTGGAGACCCAGCGGAATCACAGGGTGCTCTCTTTGGGGTCCTTTCCCCAGCTCAGCCTCTGGAGTTGGGGGTCTCCCAGCCTCGGGTGGGAGCAACTTGCTGAGGTTAAAAAGCCCCTGAAATGGGAGAGGGGCTGAAGGGCGCTGAGGGAAAGGGGAGAGAGGAGTTTGGAGCAAACTGTGAGGAAATTGCTTTTCTTTTGTCTGCTGCGGCGGGGAGAGCAGCGGAGCGGAAAAGTGTATTTTGTTGATTTGAAACTTGAGTGAAATGGGTAATGAAGACAGATCAATACCAGCCCTTCTGCGTCCCCTCTCCAGGAAAAAAATCCAGCAGCCCGTCCATCTCGGCTCGCACGGCGCTGGATTTTTTCCATGTGAACTCTCAGCACTGCAGTCCATCCCTGCTGCTCCCCCTTCTCCTTCCCACAGCCCCCAGCTCTGCCAGCCCGTAGCCTCTGTCACCACTGCCACCCTGCTCCACCATCCCCACTGTCACCACAGCCACAACGGCGTCTGGGATTAACGGGGGAGCAAAGGAGTCACTTCAATCCCTGTAGATTTCATCGGTGTGATGAGCTGTGCCAGCACCCTGTGCCTATGGAGGAGACGTGTCCCCTTGGGGACCCTGCCAGGGTGATGCGGGGGGACAGGGGCTCACCCCAAGCTGAGGAAGGGGGGGCAGGCAGTGAGTGCTCCAGCACGCTGTCTCTGCTGCTGTGAGCATCCCCCAGCCAGCTCCCTTTCAACTTTTAGCGACTTGCAGCCCAATTATGCACGATTAGTGCCTCCCCGGCGGGCCACGCTGCGCTAACGAGGATGCACGGTGGGTTGGACACGCAGGGGATTGATTCCTCTTTTTTCTTTGCGTGTAGCTGAACAGCAGAGGCTGGTTGTTCTGCAACACAGCTACGCTGACACTCCCTCGCCTGCTCACCCCGTGCTGCTGCCCTCCTCCTACCACCCTCAGCCAGGGCAATTACTCCTTTGGTGCTAAAAATATTCATAAAATAACCCCACAGCCTCAAAACCCAGCCTGGCACGTTATGCTGGAGCAGATCTGGGTTTGGTTTCTCCTCTGACCCTGCGTAGATGCTGGTCTGTCGTCTCTGTCCCACCTTGATAAGGTCCAGGTACAGCGTGGTGTGAGCAGAGGATGGGTAGAGCAGTGTTTGGGTGACCCTGTGCCACCCAGAGTGGGTAGGAGCAGTGTTTGGGTGACACTGTGCCACCCATCAGGGTCTCTGACCGTGGCTGGGGTTATGTTGGTGCCTGGTCCTGGATGGTTGAAGCTCTTGCAGATGGTCTGAGCCAGCTGAATCCTGGAGCTCACCAGGGATGTGAGCAGGAGGGGATGTGTGGATGTGCCTTTGTGCTTTGGCTGGACTGGAAGTGAAAGGTTTGCTCTCCTCTAACTGTGGCAGTGAGAAGTGAGTGCTCGAGGAAGGATTTGCTCATCCCTTGCCCCTAAAATCAGACTAAAGCTGCTCTTGGGTGATGATTGCTTCTCCTTTTCTATTCCCAGCACCCAGTCTCCTTCGGTTTGGTTT